CGGGGGCGCCCCCCAGCCACCGGGCCCCGGACGCCGCCCGAGCGCGCGCTGGCGCCTGCCGGGCTCCCAGGCAGGGTGGGCGGGGCTGCCAGGAGCATCTTGGGTCGCCTGCTCCGTGCTTTCAGCCACGTCCGTCACATTTCACTGTCACTTAACGGGACACTTTGGCAGAGAGAGCATGACCCCCTCGGTGAGAAGGCGTTCCGGGCAGTTTGCAGGAAGACACCTGCGCTCCGGCAGCAAAGTGGCCTGTTCGCCACACGACAGACACGTGCCCGAGTGACAGGACGTGAGCCGAGTGCAGGCCTTCAAACTCCAGGGCTGGAGAAAGAGGGGAGGGCAGTCTCTAGGGGACTGGGTGACACTGCATTGCGGGGGCAGAAGAAGGAGCTCAGCAGCCTTCTGGCGGCTGGGGCGTCAGGGGAGGCAAAGGACCGAGGGCCAAACTCAAGTAAGTGGGATGTCGCAGTACAGAAGGCTCCCCTCCTGGCACTAAAGCCCCGTGCCTGCTACAGTCTCCCTCAGCACCCTTTCCATCGGCCTCCCCGACTGCCCCCAGCACCGGGGCCCACGGGGCTGCCTTCCGGGACAGTGACACCCACACGGCCATCGTCACAGCGGCAGGCGATGAAGTGAAAGGTCTCACGTTTGTTGTGGGGCCTGGCCTGCTGATCAGCAAGGACAGCATGCACTCAGGGGAACTAAAGGCCCCTGAAGTGGCTCCACGCGACAGTCAATTTGGCAAGAAAAGAGAATACCTTAAATGCGTAAAAACCATTCCCAAAGTCCTCCTAAAGAACACGATTACAATATATTAGCAAATTCTGTGGCATAAACGTTTTCAAAAGCATCGCCGACAGTATTAAATATAAAAGCAGTATGTATGCGCCCCGCCCGCCCTGAACAAAGCCCACAGGAGGAGGGCGCGGCCCGGGGGCGGGGCGGGGTCTACTGCCGCAGCTCCACGTAGTTGGCCGGGAAGAGCCCGTACCTGCCCCTGCACAGCCCACGCCACCAGCCGTCGTCAATCATCTCGATGTTGGTGACCACGTCGTCAGGGTCGAAGGAGATTTCATCGTCGCCCGCTGGGAGAGAGCAGACAGCAACAGTGAAGCCCAGCGACCCGCCCCGGCGGAAGGAGGCCCCCCGGTGGCCACCCAGAGCGGGTCTGTGGTGGGGCCTGTCACCGCAGCTCGCCCGAGACCAGCAGGCGCAACCAAGATGTCGCAGAGCCCCTGGAACGCGGAGCCCACCCATGCCCGGGCCCGACACGGGGCACGGCACAGCCACTGGCCACCTTCCAACTTTCCGTCCCAGCAGGGAGGACCTGTCCTTGGTGGGGACGGCGGGCAGGTCCCCACCAACCCCCAAGGACACAGGCGGGGAGGGCGGCCAGAGCAGCCGGGGCAGGAGGCACGCGTGCCCGCTCCTGACGGCCAGGCTTTCCACAGCGCGCGGGCCGAGGGAGGGGCCCGAGGCGGTGGGCTGGCCGGGGCCAACCGGGAAGCTCTAAAAATGACATGGGCACGAAATCTCACAGAATCTGCGCACCTGTGCATGTGCGCTCACACACGTGCGGGGGGTGGGGGAGACCCAGCCCCCGACAGGGCGGGCAGCAGGGGAGCCACAAGTCTGAGGGTGAACAGGGTCGTGGGGACCCACCACACTCATCAGCTGCTAAGGGAGAAACGGTGACTCTGCTAGAGTCTGGGTAACACAAGGGGCCAGGTGACAGTGCTGAACGCCACGGCGTGTGGCAGGAGAGGAAGAGACAGGGGTCATGTGCCTGACGTGCCGCAGGGGGCACAGCACAAGGCATGGCTGCGGCCTCCCGACCACGAGCGGCAGGTCACCCCAGAATGAAAGGACCCCAGGACCCAGGGATGGGTGGAGGCTGCGAGCTGCTCCGGACCAGAGGGGACCAGACAGAAATGACAAGAAAACACAGGAAACCAGGCCAAACAGGAATGAGGTGTTCCCGGGACAGCGGGAAAACATGACCAGGCTGCAGACGTGGCGGTTCACTGGTGACCTGGAGGGGAGTGTGCTTTTATGGTGGACAGTGTCCTTGGTCGGCGGGATCACAAGAGGGTCCTCAGGGGGCATGGGCGCCCCTGCAGCTGGGGCCACAGACGGTGATGGGTGAGGGGGTGGAGGGTGATGGGTGTGTGTGCGTGTGCATGTGTTTGTGTGGATGTTTGTGTGTGTGTGTGCGTGTACGTCTGTGTGTCTGTGTCTGTGTGTGCGTATGTGTGTGTGTGCGCATTTATCTGTGTGTTTGTACGTGTTTGTGCGTGCGTGTTTGTGTATGTGTATGCGCGTGTGTGTCTGTGTCGAGACAGAGATGAAACGTCCATAAGCCTAAAATGACTTTTTTGAACCGCCACGCTGAGTCAGACCCTAGGAGGCGAGCTGGGGAAGAGCGCAGAGCGGGAGCCCCCAGCCCTCCCTCCCATGGGCCGCGCGTCCTGGCTCCTCACCGGCCTGGTAGTCGTACAGGGCGATGGCCGTGATGCCCAGGTCATTCTCATACTCGTCGTAGGTGTTCTCCTCTGAAAACAGACCGAGACAAGGCCCACGAGGGCACAGCCATGTTCATGCGTGGCTGACGACCCCCCAAGGCTGGGGTGCAGGGAAGACCCCTGGCCGGGAGCCCTGGGCATCGCGCAGGTGACTGCGGGATGCGAGGCACCTTCAGCAACAGCAGCAAATCCACCGTCTCCAACTCTGACACCGCCCAGCAACCACGGTTATCCTGACCGGTACGGTGACCGCTCAGAGTAACATCTTTAAAGCTTAAATACTTAGCACTTTTAGGGTCATCTCGTGGTAAGTGAATGGCGAGCAGGAAACAGCTGACCGCAGGCCTCACGCCAAGGCCGGGAGAAGGCGTGAGCGCTGCAGAGCCAGCATCCCCGCCACCCCGAGAGAGGCGCCCGCGCTCGGCCTGCCGGGTGTGTGGAAAGGACCCGCATCTCCGTTGGCGAGAGGCCGGGAGTGCCCGCCCCACCAACCAGCTCTCGGACCTCGGGGTCCAAGGCCATCTTTGCAGACCCACACGCCTGGTCTCCTGGAGCTGGGCTCCCTGCACTGGAGACGCCCCGAGACTCCGCTTCAGAGAACAGCACGAGCCGCTCCCTTCCCAGCCCCTGCCCAGCGACCCCAGAACAAGCACGGAGCCTCCTGAAACCCTGCAGGAGGCCGTGCCAAGGCCCCTGGTGTCCAGAACCTGTCCTGGCAGGAGACGAAGATCTTGCGGGAACCCACGAGGGGGACAGGCCAGTCAACAGGAACAGGAGGCAATTTTCGGAGGAACAGAGACAGTGAAATTTATGGGCGCGCAGTCCAGGAGCGACGCAGGACATCCGCTTACCTCCCTGGTAGTGGCCCGGGGCCTCCGTGGTTTCGTAGACGGCCTCAGGGGCGTAGGCCAGGCCCTGCTGACCGCCAGCCTCGCGGTAGTCGGCGGCCTCCCTGCTGTACACAGGCTCGGGCTGGCTCGTGGGGGCTCTGCAGCTCGGCTCGGCTTTGAACGAGGCCGCGTCCTGGGAAGAGGCAGCGAGACGTTTCACACGGCCCGCACCGGGTCACTGACACGAACCACCTTCCAGGCCCAGCGGGGGCTGAGGAAACAGCCACGGGACAAGAGCGCCACCTGCTGACGTGTGGGGCGCGCGGCACGCTCACGGCTGGACTGCAAGGCCACGGGCCCCGTCTCCTCCGGACACGTCTCCCCGGATGCTGAGGGAGCGGACTGGAGGACTCGGGGCTGGGTCACGGTGTGGGGTATGTGCCGGGCTCCCCGCACCACCCTGTCCTACCTTCTGGCACAGCACCTCCGCCCGCTCTGCACCCCGTGGTCTGCCGGGCTGCCAATCACAGGACCCCCCCCTCCCACCGGGGACAGCACGTCATCCTGGACTTCGCAGTGACTTTGCAGTGATTGGCCCAACTGTGAGACATGACAAGGGGATGGCTCGGGCCCCCTTTCCATTGGATTATGCGCTACGAGGCCAGGTGCATACCAGCCCAGGTGTCTGGAGGGACACAGCAGCTCAAGGGCAGCTGGCCCAACTGTGAGACATGACAAAGGGATGGCTCGGGCCCCCTTTCCATTGGATTATGCACTACGAGGCCAGGTGTCTGGAGGGACACAGCAGCTCAAGGGCAGGCCCTGGTGGGGAGGTGACCGGGGGCCGCCCCGAGGCCCAGGCCCACTGCCCCGCCCCAGTCTCTGCGGATCCTCGTCCTCTTTACACCTCAGGTGGGCGGAGTCAGTGTCCGTCCCTTGTGACTCAGTGATCTGTGAGTGATGGCTTCCAGGTGAAAGAAGACAGGTGTGTGACCCAGGACAGTGACTGCGGGGACAGAGGGGACGAGATCTGGGTCCTGAGTGGGCGTGGACGATGCTGGCAGATGCGCAGCCCGTGCGGGAGACCCCAGACGCTGAGGTGGAGTGAGGGGGGCGGGGCAGGCAACTCCCATCAGGAGCAGGCGGGGATCTGAGTGGGCAGGTCTTGGGGCGCAGACGGCTGGTCACAAGGCAGCGGTGATGGGAGTGAGGAGAAAGGCCAAGGGCAGCCTCAAGACAACGCAGTGTCCCACAGGGGCTGAGGGACGGGAGAGCTGAGCAGGGCCAGTGCAGTACGGTGTCACGGAGAGTGAGTGGCAGCTGGAGCCAAGGGGCGGGTTCTAGGAGGGAGTGCAGTCCGGTCACAGCAAGACAATCAGCGAGATGCAGCCCAGAAAGCGTCTGACGTGCGGCGTCAGGAGGCCGCAGTGGGGGACAGCAGGCTGGGTGAGGAAGGGGCGCCTCGAGCAGGAAGCCCAGCCAGGGGCCGTGGAGGCCGAGACGCTGGACATGCGCTGTGTCCCCCAGCACTGAGGGCGCCTCCCCGGGCCGCCCTCTCGACAGGCGCCAAGCAGAGCGGCAGGGGGAGCCCCCTCTGTCCACAGGGGGCACCGAGCTGGCGAGGGTGTCCCTGGAGAGTCGGAGACTCGTGCAGACTGAACGGCGACACCCACCTCGTAGACGGGGCTGGAAGGCGGCCTGTCCTGGGCCGGCTGCGGGGTGGGGGACGCCGGCGGGGTGTGCTTCTGGGCTCTGGCTTGCTCCTGTAACTGAGAACAAGCCGCCATCGGAACGCAGCCGGGTGACCTGGGTTCCCAACCGCACGCTGGAGGGCGGCAGCCAGGCCTGAAGCACCCTCAGGCGGGCGGGAGAGAAAGCGCCGGCACCGAGGTCAAGCGCCAGGGGAGCAAGTTCGCCGTGCGGTGAAGGTCGCGGTCCGTCAAGCGTCCTCCACACACAGCCCTCGGCGGCCCAGTCCTCCGGCCGCCCCCACGAGCCACAGGCCCACGCAGCTGCGGGGTCAGGAAGGCGACAGCACCACCTCCGAGGGTGGCCCCGTCTCATCCAGACTCAGTGACAGAGGCGATGAGATCTAGGGTCTGAGCTGCTGCTGTAATGGAGATTTTTGGGGACCCTAAAACGGGGTGCACGTATTTTGCACCTAGGCGAGCATGGACCTTTGGGGGCCAGAGAGCGGACTGTGATGGAGAGAGTAACACCGTCAAAGAAGTAGCTGTCCCGATCCCGTATCTCGTGACTATGACCTCTCACGGTAAAGGGACTGCAAACGTGAGGAAGTTCAGATTAGATGAGCTGACTAAAGCAGGGGCTGGAAGGGGCCACGAGCAGACTGGGGGCCCCTCTGAGGCTGGAAAGGGCCCGGGAACAGGTTCTCCCCTGGAGCCCCTAGCGGGCACCTGTCACCTGTCAGAACCGTAGGATAACGAAGCCATGCTGTTCTAAGCCACTAAGCTGTGGTCATTTGATGCAGCAGCCGTAGGAACCGGGGCGATGGCCTGGAAGGGTGGGTTTTTCCCCACGTGACAGCTGAGCAAAGCGAGGTTCCCCAGCGGTAAGCGGACAGGCACTGGGCTGCAGAGCCGCAGAGCCGGGACGCCCCCTCCTCCCGGCCAGGCTGCCTCTCTAACGGGGACCATGGAAACCTGGCGAAGAAAACCGTCCAGCTCCTGAGCCCTAAGCACGGCTGTGCACCCGTGTGGCTCTGCCTGACCCGCACCACCCTGACAGTCCCAAATTCACGCACGTCCGGAACCGGCGTGGGCTGGACACCGCGGGGAAGGATGTTCTCTTGAAGGGGCTGCGCCTGGGCTGGGCACCCAGGAAGCCTGCTGCTCAACACGGAACCACTGTGATGGGCTCTGTGACAGCCCCTCTCGCATCCGGCTGGGTACAGAGGGACTCCTCAGTGGCAGGCCACCAGGAGGGGACAGCCAAGCTTCTGGGGGCCCGTGCCGGGCTCCCACTTCTGGACGCGTGCTCTGTTGTGAGCGGTGCTGTGCCGGCCGAGGAACACTCAGTGCAGAGAGGCCGAGGCAGGGGGTGGCAGGGGCTGGACACAGACGGACGACACAGAGGAAGGGACAGCACGGGAACCGCAAAAGAAAGCTAGGTCGGGGTGCCCGAGCCTTTTCCTTCTCACGCAGCCCGATCATTGGGCAACGTTTGGATGCTGACAGGGCTCGGGGGCCGGGGTTAAAAGCCGGAGGCGTACAAGGGGGAAGGCATTAACTATTCCGAAAGACCAAAGAGCAGGAAAAGACGCCTCACCGCGGGCTTGTGTGCGTGCTGAACAGAAAACTAACAGGCATCTCAGCAAAAACCGTAAAGGAGAGAGACCTTCAAATGTTTCTAGCAATCTGAAACATGGTAATTATATAAATTTATCATTCCTACGTCAGAGCACATGACAAAACATATAGTCCTGAGCCGCACAACCACCGTTCGGCCAATGCTGGACCAGATGTACGCCAGTGGTGCACATACCCACCACTCAGGTGTGCCACGCAGCCCAGGTGTGCGCTCCATCCAGGTGCATGTACCTGCCCTCTGAGATGTCTGCACAAGGCCAAAGCCGCCCACCGACGTATTTCTCAGAATGCATCCTGTCACTAAGCAGCGCATGACTGTGTACTGGGGCTCAGGAAATTCGCTTCTGCCCGTGGCATGTCATTTGCTCAGCCACCCCGTCCCCTCGATGGGGCTCTCAGGGCCCCCGCCCTGATTTTGGCGAGGAAACGTGCACTGAGTTGAGTAAAGCTCTGCAGCTTACGAACAGCGTAAGCGATGCTTCAGACTCCGCTCTGTTTCACAGAGGACAGAGGAGGTGCCCAGATGCCCAGATACCCAGTCAGCAATTGAGAGAAACAGACCGTCCATCACACACGCAGCCCACCCGGAGCGTTAGGAGGGCGAGTCCCCGCCCACGCCCCACAGTCCGTCCCTCGCTTCTCCAGTGAGAAAACAGTAGCGTCCCACAGAAGAGCAGCAGGCCCGGGCGACAGCAGAGGCTGCAGAGGAAAGTCGATCACTCCACGGGCCCCCCGCCCCGTACCCCACCTCCTCCCCGGGAAGAGCACGGCTGTGGGGCGGTGGGAGCGCGGACCGCTGGGGAAACATCTGGAGCTCGGCGCGGGGAGGAGGGCAACAGAGAATCTGACAGGTCGGTGATGGCAGCACAGAGGCTCACGGTCACCAGCACTGAACAGCAAGGTCAACTGCCTTGCATCTGGCGGTCAGGAGACCATACGCGCGGCTAAAGTTAGTCCTAAGAGCACGGCCTTGACCCTGAGTCCTACGTGGTTTCCACCAAGAACCTTCCAGACCTGGGGAGCAGGGAGCCAACCCCGACGCCTAGAGCGCGCATCCGCGGGGGGCGGCGGGCGGCCCGCGCTCACCTCCAGCTGTCTCCGGGCCTCCTCCTGCTCCCGCCTCTCCCTCGCCATCCTCTGCGCCCTCTCCGCCTCCGCCCTCCGCCGATCTTCCTGTTCCTTCTCCTTCGCGAGGTTCTCGAAGTTCGCTCTGATGTTGCTGGTTTTGCTGTTGACTGGGGGTAGGAGAGGTTCACGTCCGACATCAGACACCACCGCCTCCCCGGACCGCAGCCCCACACCGGGTGACCAGGGAGCCCGCCCGGCTGGGCCCACCCCCACGAGCCAGCTCGTGCCCTTCTGTCTGCTGCCGCCAGCAGGACCGACGAATGTCACAAGCCTCGTATCTGGTGTTTCTATATTCCAAACGTCACTATTCTTTACCGCCACACACTCAGGAGGCAAAAAAAAAAAAACAATTTTCTGTAGGGATTCTTTTGATAGAATGGCAGAAAGCACTGATTTCTAGAAACTTCAGCCCCCGCATATGCATCTCTTCACGTTCGGTGTGCTGAATGCAAGGCTGGCGTCGTCTCGAGGAAGACCCTGCCTGACCGGCCGAGCTGCACGCCGAACCCCCTGACTTAGGCACGTCTGGGTCGGTGGCAAGCGTCCTCTCCCGGACGGACAGAAGAACCGCAGCGTGGCTTTCAGGTCCAAAGAGAACGTGGGAAAACTCGGGTCAAGCACTACGAGCATAATTTCCCAATTTTACTTAAAGACTCTGTGATGAGACCGACGACAATATTAACGCACGCCGTTATCTGGGTAACTAACGTATAAAGAAGTGAAGTTCCACATCCGGGGCATCGGCGTAACTCAGGGATCCAGGATGTCCCAGACGCCCAGTGCGTGTGCGAACCGTGCTCTGCAGGGAGCCTGACCAGAAAACCACTAGGGCGCCAGGTGCGGGCATCGACGCCGACGGCCGTGAGAACCCTCCTCTCTGCGCCAACTGCGGATCTGGGCGAGGCCAGATTTTCTTCCTAAACAACCTGATTTGTCACAAGAGACTGACCGCAGAAGCAGCTCCGACAATGCAACTGTCTCGCATTGAGATTTACAGACATGCAAAATGATGCCGCCCTCCTGCACTTTTTTGTTTTGAAAAGTTATTGTTTTCTTAAAACGTATGATTAACACGTGATGGTTTTATCATTTTCAAATGAATTAGTATCACTTTAAAGCCTGTTTAAATTCTAACCTAGTAAAGATCAGACATAACATAAACCACCCCAACGGGAGTTCTTGGGGTCCTTGATGACTCTCAGGCATGAAGTGTCCTGAGACCAGGGAGTCAGAACCGTTGCCCCCCCACCCCTGTCCACACCTCCAGCAAACAAAAGGTGACTCTGCTTCCTAGTTTCAATTTGCCACTTTCTATCCCATATACGTTTTCCCCAACGAGACTGTGCTCTTTGGGGCGGGGCCCCCAGAATGGAACGATGTGCTCTGCAGACCCCTGGACTGCAGGCTGCCTGTACACGCAGCGGCCACCTGCGAGGAGGGACTGTGAGCTGCCCCGCCAGCCGTCACTGGGAAAAGGCGCACGTGCGCTGGCTCCGGCGCAGGCGTCAGAACACGTTCCTCAGACCTCGGCCTTGCCATTGGGCTCACCTGGGCCGACAGGGCCACAGGACACAGGACACTCCTAGGACCTGGTGCCGGTGGACATGCCCTTAACCCAGCTCTGCACTAGGGAGCACCCCCAAAACAGACCCCCAAAAGGCGCCCTAAACTCCTGC